TTTTAGATTTTTGGAATTTTTAAAATTTTAAAAAAGGCCGAAAATTCTAAAAATTCTAAAAAACATGCCTTCCTGGGGCCTGTAATTTTTAGAATTTTTAAAATTTTTAGAATTTTTAGAATTTTTAGAAATTCTAAAAATACCGGCGGCCTCAAAAGGCATTTGTTTTTTTAGATTTTTTAGAATTTTTGGAATTTTTAAAATTTTTAATGAAGGCCGAAAATTCTAAAAATTCTAAATAATATAAGGCCAGAAGGAGGCCATCACATAATACATAAAGGTTTCNNNTTTCTCTTACATATATATATACATATATATATATACATATATATAGATATAGATATATAGACAGATATATAGACAGACAGACAGACAGACAGACAGACAGACAGACAGACATGTATGTATGTATGTATGTATGTATGTATATATATATATTTGTGCATATTTATATTTATATCTTTATTCATATTCATATTTATATTCGTATTTATATTTATATTTGTATTTATATTTATATATTTGATTATTTATCTGTTTGTTTATTTATATTTGCTGATTGTATATTGCACATAGCATGCTTTCCTTGTAATGGTAACCCAGCTGAAGTTCTTTAGCTCTAAACCGGAAGCCCCCTATAAGACGGTTCAGGGCAGCTTAGGGTTTAGGGTTTAGGATTTAGGGTTCAGGTCTAGGGTTTAGGATTTAGGATTTAGGGTTTAGCATTTAGGGTTTAGGGCTTCGGGTTTAGGGTTTAGGGTTTAGGGCTTAGGGTCATGATCGCTCAAGAACTCGAAACCTAGGCATGGCGTCGTGATGCTTACAGCCCGCTCCCGGGCCCTCGTGGCAGCGAAAGTCTCCCTCGACGCGGGAACGAAGGCTTGCAGGTTTGGCCGGACAGAGGCCAGGACGTCGGAAAGAAAGAAGTGAGGGTTAGGGGTTTAGGGTATCCCTAAACCCTAAACCCTAAACTCCAGGGTTGAGGGTTTAGGGTCTGGGAGGCTTGGATTACATGATGTTATTTTGAGGCGCTCCAGGACCTCCCATAGATACTAACTGGCAAGCTTGCGGTAAGGACCCCCTACTTTGGAACCCTTTCCTACCTTAAGCCCCGATTGTAACAACCCCCCCTCCCCATAGGGTGATCCACCCTAAGCCCAAGCCCGTAAGCTTATAAGAAGGTGATCCACTTCGAGGTAGAAGAGCCAGCGCCGTCACCCTGCAGCCGAAGTGGCGACCACGCTCCAGAGGCCTTGTTCTTCCGGCAGGCCCAGCAGAAAGCGAAGAATGACGACGGGGAAGACGAGGAGGTGGAGACGGACGACGACGAGACGGACTCGGATGACGATGTAACCTTCTTCTACCAGCCACCTCTTCGCGGGGAAGCCAGCAGGACAGCGAAGCTCAAGACGCTCCGCAGCGATGAGACCGTCCCTGCAGCCCCGATTGCAGACGACCTCACCCCATCGCCTTGCGTTTGCGCCCGAAGTGCGCGATGCAGCTGATGGCAGTGAGTGGCGCGCCACAGGTGTACAGAACCGTGGTGGTGTGCCTGCTTCACGGCAAGAAGATCGCCACGCAAGGCCCTTCCATCCGAATGTTGGGGCTTCTGCAGTGAAGCCCCGTAGTCTGCTTCAAACTTTAAGATTTATAAGGAGTTCACGTCCGAAGGATGCAAGAATTCCCTGTCAGTGTAGTGAAAGGCACTGATAGAACACCTGTATATTTAAGCCCTCTTCCCTTCGGCAATGCACCCAGCAGCCATCAGCATCCATACACCCCCAGTCTTGCCACCCTAAACCCTAAACCCTAAACCCTAAACCCGGCATCTGAAATCCGGGGCTCTTGCATCTCCCAAGACCTCCAAACTCGGACCGCCTTGAATCTGGAAGTTGTTCCAATCCGGGTGTCAACCCTACCTGTTCAGATCGGTCTAGTGATTGAGAAAAGCACCACCCCAAATGGGGTTTTTTGGTCAGAACAACTCCGAGTTGCCTGCCAATGTGCGGCGACAGCACATCTCGAGAACATCTCTGCGGTGGGGGGGACTTCACTTCCGTCGCCACCAGATCCAGAGAGCCCACCAAGGAATGTACTATGGGGGCCTTAATAATTAGAATAGGTTTTGGGGTATATGATACTACAATCATAATAAGGAACCCCCCCACAACCCTATTCTAATCATTAGGGCCCTTGCATTACTCCACATAGCTCAGGGACAGAGCCAAGGACTGCTTCAGTGCCTGCAACTACGGCAAGCTTGATCAAACTCTGACTTTCCGTATATATGTATATATACAAATATACTCATGCGCATATATATATAGATACACACGCTTAAAGCAGCAAGACACATACGCATATGCATACATATGTGTGTATGTAATTGGCACTTATATTCATGAATACATGCATGTATGTATGCATGCATGCTTACATACATGCATGCATACATACATGCATACATGTGTATATACATATATGTTATGCATATATACATATACACATGTCACATACATATCATATACATACACATCCTATCATATCATATCATATTTATCGTTGCGTATCATAGCAACCAGTCCATACATTATCGTATCTCAATCATACTATACGATATCATATCATATGATATCATACCGTCTCATACCTTATTGTACCATATCGTATCAGAACCATCACATTACATCACATCTGACTATACCATACCACCATGTCGTGTCCTACCATATCATATCACATCGCAACAAAACAAACATATCATATCTTACAATAACATGCCATCTCGTATCATACCATATCGCACCGCGTCATCTCATATCATACCATATCATACACATATACATAGCATACTCATACATACACATACATACATATAGGTTTGTGTGTATATATATATATACACACTTTTTGTGTATGCATATATATATGTATACCTATACCCAGAACTATACCTATATCTATATCTATGTCTATGTTTAGATCTATATCTATTCCTGCCTTTACATCTACATCTACATTTATATCTATATCTCTATCTATAGCCTTCAGTCTATACCTATGTCTAGTTCTATACCTACATCTATAGCTATACTTATATCTATAGTCCATAGTCTTTGGTTTATAGTCTACAATCTACATCTATATCTACACCTACATCTATATCTGCAGTCGTCTATAGCGTGTATCTATATCCATATCTGTATCTATATCCATATCTACATCTACATCTCTCATCTACATAGATGTAGATCTATCTCCACGTCCTTCCATCTATCTATCTATCTATCTATCTACCTATCTATTTATCTATCTATCTATCTATCTATCTCTATTTATCCATCCATCCATCCATCCATCCATCCATCCATCCATCCATCCATCTGTCCATCCATCCACGCATCCACCCACCCACCCAGGCATCCATCCAACATCCATCCATCCATCCATGTGTCTGTCCATCCATCCACCCATGTATCTATCCATCCACCCATCCATCTATCTATCATACCTATCCATCCATCCATCTATCCATCTATTTATCTATCTGTCTGTCTGTTTGTCTGTCTATCTATCTATCTGTCTATCTATCTCTCTGTCTATCTACCTATCTACCTATCTATCTATCGATCTATTTATCTAACTATTTGTCTATCCATCTATTTATCTATCTATCTATCTATCTATCTATCTATGTATCTATTTATCTATCTATCTGTCTATATATTTCTCTGTCTATCTACCTAGCGACCTATCTATCTATCGATCGATCTGTCTATCTATCGATCTATCTATCTGTCTATCTGTCTATCTGTCTATCTTTCCATCTGTCTATGTGTCTATCTGTCTATCTGTCATTTCTGTCTACCTATCTATCTGTCTATCTATCTAACTACCTATCTATCTATCTATCTATCTACATACATTCCTAGATCATGCAGGACTTCACCCATCAGCAGTGATCCGAAGACCTCTTTGTACCCAGCAGGTTGATAAGCCTGTGCCTGCAGTGGGCTCCCTGAAGACTGCGTGCGCGCTTTTAACTTAGTTCTTAGTCGCCCCTTCAGACTGTACAGCACTGTACAGCCCCGCGCGCGTGTGCGCGCGACAGCCGGTCAACGCGATAAGTCGTTACTCCAGGCTCGGGAAAAGCAGGCAAACACGAGATGGAGAGACCTTGAACCTATGACTAGGAGTGAGTGGATTCGTGGTCATGGCTCTTGCCATAAGAACAGCCGAAGCCCTCTATCAGAGGATCCTAGAGTCTACAACCCCTTGGCGGAACCCTACAACAGCCTTCCTGAAGCCTGAAGCCTGCAGGAAAGCCCGTAAAAGACCCGTCGAGGCACCGGAAAGAAGAAGGGAGCCTTAGTAGCTGAGGTGGTTACGCTGGGTGAGTTCGTCGCCCTCCTCCAGCCTGGAGCTCAGAGAACAACTCCCACCTTTTTGGGCTTGGGCTTTTTGAGGGTTTACGGTTCAGCTTTATTTAGGGTTCAGGGTCTAAGGCTTAAGGTTTGCGGTTTCGGGTTTGGGGTGTAGGGCTTCGGGTTCAGGGTTCAGGGCTCTTACCTGGGTGTGCAGGGGCAGGCAGGGGTTTACAAGTGGAGTGTAGGGCTTCCAGAAGGTTTCAGGGTTTATGCTTTTAGGGTTGGGGGATGTTAGGATTGTAAGGCTTAGGCTAGGCGGTATTATTTTGCCGCTTGAGGGCACGGTTGGCTTCGGTTCTTGAAGTGACAGCTATGGAGTTCTCTAATGGCTCGTTTTTGATCGAAATGAAGGTTATGACCTGGATGCTCGCAGCAAACTTTCTTGTGCTTTGAGCTGAAGGTGCTTTGTGTGTAGACCCTGAAGCCAAAGCGGGATTTCCTTCTCTGAATTTGGACAACCAAGGTGTGCAACCAGAGTTCGACGTGTAAACCCCATGGACATTCAACCTTCTCCACACTGTTCAGTAGGATCTCTCCTTGAAGCCTCGACTTTACCCTATCCTGAACCCTAGTTAGACCCTAGACCCTACACCCCCCCACCCTATAAAGGCATATAGAGTAGATGGGAAGGTCCTGCAGTCCCAAACCCTCACCTCAACCTTCAACCAAAGAAGCACCAACCCCCAAGCCCTGAGCCATCAACACAAAAAACGCTATAGAAAGACCCTAAACCCTGAACCCTAGGCCCCTCCCTTGTAGAGCCGCTTATGGAGCGTCTCAGAAACGCCAGGTGCTCCCGTCCCGTGGGCCGCCCCTTCCGCAACACTCTGGAGCTCGAGAGATCCGCGGCCTCGCGCGTGCGGAAGGCGACCGGCAGGGTTCTTGTTGGGTGCCGGTTTCGGGGTTGAGGGGTTAGGGTTT